TATATTATATATATTTATATATTTGATCATATATATGTGATCAAAGAAGAGGACTGGAGTAGAAAGTATATAGTGCTCTGAGAAGCCAGTTAAGAAATGAGTGTGGGGCTGGAGACTTAGCTCAGTGGTGCCACCACCCACCTCACAAGCACAAGGTCCTGAGTTCATTCCCCCATACCAAAAAAAGAAAAGAAATGAGTGTGGAGCCAGGTGTGGTAGAACACACCTATAATCCCAGCACTCTGGGAGGCTGAGGCAGGAAGATTGCAAGTTTGACCCTAGCCTGGACAATTTAGTAATTGAGTGAGACCCTGTCTCAAAATAAAAAATATAAAAGGGGCTATAGACGTAGTTCAGTGCGAAGGACCTGGGTCCAATTTCCAGTACTTTAAAAAAAAAAAAAAAAAAAGAGCTTGGTGGCAGAGTGCCTCTTGTGGGAAGCCCTGGATTGAATTGAATCCCTAGCACCTCGCATTAAAAAAAAAGAAAGAAATGAGTGTGTCTCACCCTTGCTATGGTTCGGGTATGTCACCAGGAATTGATATGTTGGAAATTTTATCCCCAAAGTCATGTGTTAGTGGTACTTGAAGGTCAGACCTTTGAGAGGTAATTAGAGTTAGATGAGGTCAGGAGGGTGGGGCTCCCATGATGAGGTTAGTGGCTTTTTAATAAAAGAGACCTACGCTGGCAGACCTGCTGTCTCTCACCATGTTATGACACAATAAGAAGACCCTTACCAGATAAGCACCTTGATAGTAGGCTTCCTACTCTACAGAAATGTGAGCTAAATAAAACTCTGTTCTTTATAAATTACCCAGTGTGTGCTATTCAGCAAAACTAAAAGTAAACCATCTAAGACACTAGACCATAAAGACTCTTCTTCAGCCCCTCCCTGCCTGCTTCTGAGTTCCCAGGCCTCATCTAAGAGGTGCCCTTTCTCCTTTCATCCAGCCATCAAACAGCCTCCCCCGAAAGTGTCCTGAGACACAAAGTTAACATCAGGCTCTCAGACAAATTGAGTTGAATGGTCTTCAGATATCATATCTGTCTTGTCCCTTTCAGCTCTTCCTGCTTTCAGGGCCTGAAGTTCTCTCTTGGTTCAGCTGCAAGGACTAGCCCAGGCCACCTTCCCCACCTCCACCACCACCCAGGCAGGTCACATCTCCCAAAGTTATCCATTTCTTCAATGTTTCAGTCACCTCTAAGGTTTAGAAGGGGCCGGGGGGGGAGGGAAAGGGGATGAAAAAAGGAATTAAAATATGTTATGTACTTTCACCAACTCCACACAAGGAAGGTGAACATGTACTAATAAACTAAAATTGCAAAAATTTTTTAAACTATATAATTAAAAATATTATCTAGCAATTAGTCACATGATTATGAAAGAAAGTTATAGGCACATTTATCATTTTATCAAGGAGCAGAATTCCTTCTCTTTACACTCAAGAAAATGAAAGTAAATATTGTAGCAAGAACACTATAATTGGGCTGGGGATTTAGCTCAGTGGCTTCACCGCCTGCTGAGTAAGCACAAGGACCCTAGTCTGACCCCTGGTACCAAAAAAATCCCCCATAAAACAAGAACACTATGATAATAATTATTATTACAGTGTTCTTGCTATAAAATAATAATTATTATTATTATTTTAGGTACACTGAAGATTGAACCTAAGGCCTTTGCACTGAGCTATACCTCCAGTCCTTTTTAGGTTCTTTTCTTTTCTTTCTTCTTTTTTTGAAACCATCTTGCTAAATCTCTGGCCTCCAACTTGTGATCCTCCACCTCAGACTCCCAGAGTGCTGAGATTACATGATGTGCTACCAAACCTGGTGCAAGAAAATTATTTTTAAAGCAAATTAATTATTTAGCAGTAATTAACAAGAAATAAGCCAAACAAATAGGAATAATTAAATAAATTGTGGTATATACCAGACAGTTGAATTCTCTTCAACTATTACAAATTATGCTTTTGAGACTAATGACAAAGGAAATTTATACAACAAAAATTAAAGGTAGGTAACTATATGCAATGTGGTCTTATTGTAAAATAAAATACATAGTAAACATTAATAGTGACTACCTTTGGATTGTAAAATTATACATTTATTTATTTCTTTACATATAGTTTCTGTGTTTTCAATTTTTTACAATTAACATATATTACTCTTACATCCAGAAAAATATATACATAAAATAAATGATTTTCTAGTGTCTGATTTTAATAAGTCCACTTTTATAAAGAATACCACTAAAAGCTCATCTTTCATGGAAAAAAATCATACCGCTTCTCCAGATGATATACAGTATTTTATTACACTCTATGACCCTGTGTCAGCAAGGTTAGTTATGACTACATGACTGGCTTATCGTCCCTGATACAATATTGACTTACCTACAAAATAACTCCAGTGTAATAGAGAGACTTCCCTGTCTAAAAATCAGCAAGACTTATTTAAAGGGCATTAAAGGAGAACCCCTAATTAGCCCTTTCTATTGAAATCAGTAGTATGTTTCAGTGTAAAATTCAATGCAAAACTAGTTCAAAGTTACTTCCACAGATGCAAAAATACAGAGTGGATATCAGAGATCACAAAAACAAGTGTTTTAGGGTTGTCAGACCTGATTCCTTTTGAACATAAGTTTTAAAACTATCAATTCAGAGAATTTACAGCACATTCTGAAGTACAAAAATAATGGATGAGATATTATTTCATTCCTATTCTCTCAGGAAAGATCATCTTATTCATTCCAAGGTCTGCTTAAAAAAATGTATAACCAAGTTAATCATAATGTTGCTCATCATAAACATTTCTTCCTTCTTTTCTCCACCACAAGCCAGTGCATTATACTTCCTGACGAACCCATCCATTTTATGATTCATGTATTTTTTCCTTCTTTTTTTCTTCTTTCTTTGGCAAATGTTCTGTGACAATCTCCTATGTATATGTGCTCTCTACAAGCACTGATGAGACAAAATCCCCATGACCTAGGGTTTAGAGAGTGCAAATGTCTACGGCCAAACCACCCTGAACACACCTGATCTTGTCTGATCTTGCTCGGAAGCTAAGCAGGGTCAGCCCTGGTTAGTACTTGGATGGGAGAGTGCCTCAAAAATTCATACAAAACAAAATAAAAATCTGTATAATTCGCTAAGTATATCATTAACCAGATACATAAATTAATATTAGCAGCATGCAATGGAAATACAGCTTTTAAAAGGAATGTTTCAGCCTAGGGCCACTTTGCTATCTCTCTGGTTTCTATCCTGCCATCATCTTCATGGGAAACTTGGTTAGAAAGAGGCATGGCCATCAGGCACCATGCTGGCAGTTGAGAGACTGTTAACTGGGACTTCACTTTTTCTTCTAATGCTTGCAATTATTACTTAAAGAAAAGCATGAAATTTTAAAATGGGCACAGATAAAAATATTCCTAATCTTGTCATGCACATTTCTGGTTACCATTTTCCATGCTTTCCTTACAGAATGTTACAGAAATTATGACATCTGTCAGTTTCTTAATCAGCAAAATCAGAGAAGAAATCCAGACAATATTTACGTTTTCCAGATTTTATAGTCACCTGTACCCATTTCAAAACTTCTATCATATATCACAAAAAGTTTTTCTAGAAGCCAAATGTATGAAATTTAGTTTCACAACACAAAGAGGTGCAAATGGTTAACAGCCAATGTGTGCACGTAAATTATTTCAAAGCAAATGAGTAGGAGAAATGTTCAGACTATTTGTAACTTCTTCTGCCTTTCTTAGAATAGTAAAACATAAGGGAAAGAGAAACAATAAAAGCAAAAAATAGAAAAACAATGAAAGCCAGTAAAGACTTTCGGGTGTGAAAGAAGCTGCATTCAGTGCACATGGTATAGTCTTCTGGGCAAAACCTTCCCAGAGTTTCAGGGCCCAGGAAACCGTTGTTGTCAATAATTTTCCTGTAATGTTTCATGGATGGTTTCGGCTCAAACTGATTTGCAGCATAACGATAGAAGCCAAACTTCGGAGCTGAGCGATCATTAAATGAATAAGCAAAGTATCCACAAAGATTGATACCGTCCAATACATAAGCTGGAAAAACAAAAGGACAGTAGTTATCAAAATATTTTGTACTCGACACATTCCTGTACATAGCCTGGGTGCATTGGGGAAAACTTCGATACCATTTTACAAAACTTCAGACTCAATTAATCAGAAAAGCCTTCTTTTATGCAAAGACAAAAAAGGCAAATATCATGAAAAATATGGAGCTACATCAGACAGTTGGCTTTACATAATTAAACCTACTATGATGTACTTGGTTTAAATCTTTATGTACTTACAGCAGTTAAGATAGCTGTCAGTCCATCTGAGTTGGAAAGCTAGAGAATGTATGCTTTGGCAGACCAGAGCATGTGTGAGGGATTTGCAGTCTTCCACTTTGCCCTAAACTCCTTTAGCCCTGAGAAGACTGGTTATCTCTCTGACTGTTTGTGGCCAGGAATGGCTAGTCCTTCCTTAAGGGTAACAGTGCTCTCCGTTAGAGAGTTTCTATCATACACCACGACCTCTGGTGACACAGCAATCAGCAAGAGACTCCGGTTTCAGGGATCCCTTACCTTTCAGAGCTTCGTTTACATAATTTTGTAGGTAATACATCCTCAGCTTGTCTTGCTCCTCGTGTGGATCGTCGTCGATCCCATTGGCAATTATATACACGGGGAGGTCTCCGTACTTTATCTTCAGCCAGTTCAGCACTCTGCGCAGCCCCCAGGGCACCACTGCCACTTGGCTGGGGGAGTTGAGCCAAGTGATGTCAGTCATTTCTTGCACTTCTAGGTAGTCGTTGTATTTTAAGGGATCTTCTTTTTCCCAGTCGACAAGGATGGTGGTGTAATGGCTTAGGGCTAAAAAGTCAAAGGAACCTTGGATTAACTTTTTTTCCTCTTCAGTGAAAAAAGGGAGAAGAAAGTTGCTTCTTTGGTTCAGCCAATCCCTCATCACGCGTGGATAATCCCCAGAGCCGAATATGGGCTCAGCCAGCCAGCCAATGTCAAATTCCAACACTCTCTCGGCCACTTCCTTGTCCTTTTGGGACAAAGGGCAGGCTGGTTCTATCCAATCAGCCTGTAAAGCTATGGATATTTTACCTTTCTGGGTGGGTCTAAACTTTTCATCATACAGGCGCCAAGCCAGTGCGTGAGCCTTCAGAAGGTGATGCCCCGCGCGGTAGGTCAGGTTGCGCATGTACGGCTCGTTCATCGTGATCCAGAACTCGACGTAGTGGCCCAGCTCTTCAAAGCAGAGTCTGGCGTACTCTGCAAAGGCCAGGGCAGTGCGAGGGTTCTCCCAGGCTCCCTGCTTTGCCAGGGGACCTGGCAGGCCGTGGTGCTGGGCCGCAGGCTGCCACAGGGCTACCACAGGCGTGATGTTGGCGCAGAGCAGCTCACTGACCACGCAGCCGTAGTAGCGCAGGACTGTGCTGTTCACCTGGGACAGGTTACCCAGGGGGAGGATTAACGCCCAATCCAGGGAGAAGTGAAAATGCGTGACGTGCATTTCCTGCAGTAGGGCTATCTGGGGCCGGATGGCGGCGAAATCAACGCAGTAGGATTTCCGCTTCTTGGCTGCAACTCCATCCACTTTAATAAGCCTCTTACTGTGATGGACGTCCCACAGGTAAACGTTGGTGTCGGTAAACTGAGACAGAGTGGTGTCTACCTACAAAGAGTAAAGAGTAAATGCAATCTTCACCTGCATGGCTCTGAAAAAAAACAAGCCAGTGCAATTATTTCAACAAAACTAGCAAGCATGATGAGCAAAATTAGGCTCTTGTCTAGCTGAAAATTTAAATCATTTTTAATAAATGTTGCTAAGGAAGAAAACTTTCCACTTTTTGTCTTATATGTCCATTTGTACTAAGCATAGTTCTCCCCAACTCTTCAATCGTTAAATTGATACTGAAAAACATTCTGACTTTGGTCACTTCAGGTGACAAAACTAATAGTATTTGCACACAGAGGCAATCTGGATTATGCAAATGGAATATTTATTTTCTTTTAATGTAAGAAATCACTAATGGTGTGGGGCTTTTTTAAAAACAAAACCAGATTTGTTTTAATAGATGAAAAAGAGCTTAAAAACAGAGTAAGCTAAAGTCAGAAAGTAATTCTAATTAAATTGTGCTTCTTAAACTCACATTCTATACTGAGATTTGCTCTAGGGGCTAAATAAACATAACTGTTGTATTTCATTGGTATTGGGTCAATGATAGAATTTAACAAATTCAATCTGATAGTAGAAAGTCTAAGAGAGAATATGGAAAAAGGGAACAATATTATCATTCACCCATAGAGGGATGTTTTTAAATATAGTTTTTCTTTCATTTTCTAAGCTATTTTTGTCATGATATTGACAATAAAGTTTCTCAATCATACATGATAGATAAGCCTCCAAAACAAAAATAGGTTTGTAGGAAAAGTGGGCAAATTGTAAAAGCAAAATCACAAAATCCTCCCTCCATGTCTTTTACACAAACTGAAAAGTCCACCTTGAAGCCCCACAACGTGAGCCAGTGTCTCCTCCAAAATAACCCTATCAGAGCGGATATGTTGCTCTAACCTTCTTAATCACCTGGGTCAGATACACTGGTTTTGAAGCTCTTGCCCAGGTTTGGTCAAATTTTACTGACCTATTGTAAATGAACTGCTCTTTCTCTGGAGGGGAAAGTGCTGTGTTTATAAAAGAAAGTAATAAAGAAGTCAGAATGAAGCTGCTTTTCTGAGAATTCTGCCTTGTAGATCAATGACTCATACATTTCCCCTAAAGCTGTGGAAATGCTGTCAGGGGTCTTTCCACTGTGATATCCTCACAAATCATGTCTCCTCAGCTTCACAAGAGACTGCTCACATCATCTTTTGAAGTAAAAGTGGTCAGAGCTTGAAGGAACTTTTGGATTATTTTTATAGAGCTCTGAGTTGACTAAATTCATAAATTTTCTACCAGAATCATTCCAAAACAATAGGGCTTGGGGGAGGGTTGATACTGGGGATTGAACTCGGGACCTTGCACATGCGAGGCAGGTGGTGGAACCACTGAGCTAAATCCCTGGCCCCCAAACAATAGGCTTTATTCAATCCATCTGAAAGGAAGTAGGAGAGACCATAGTATAAATTCTGAGGGGAAAATTAGTTTCCTAAAAATATGGGACTTTCAGAAATGAGTGGCAAAATGCCATCTAACTTCCATTAATTTGTCGACTTAGCCTTCACTGAAAAAAATGAAATAATAAAATTGGGCCTTTGTGAAGGAATAAGCATAAAGCATGTATTTAGTAAGTTATGGAAGAGACTTTCTCCTAAAAGGGACCAAAGTCAAAGAAGCTCTATGTCCTCAGCATGTAGCACATTCTGTACTTCTATTAACTATCCACATATGCACATTAGTGGTTATAGGAAAACAATCAGCCAGCTGGGAAACTGGATCCAAGTAAACTGACAATCCATGTGATTGAGCCCAAGGTCAGACTTCACACAGGTTGTGTGGTGAGTGAAATATTATTTTTCAGTGTTTCAGGTGAAATGTATGCCTCAAATATTAAGAGTTTGAAATCCTAACCAGGAGGGACAAGATGAATTTTGATGGTTTAAAAATCACTTCTCAGGAACTTTAATATAACATGTTAGAAGTATAGAGCCCTGCTTGTCCATGAAAACACACACACCCCTCAGAACTGTGAGAACAAAAAGCAATCTTTTGCTATGTCTTTCAGGGAGTTAGCTTAGAGAAGAATCAGCCAACATAATGCAAAGCCCAAGGTGCAAACCAGAAAAAAGAAAATAGCAATTGCAGGTGGTTCCCACTAGAGAACTTCTGGAGAAGTTCACAATCACTGTGGATGGAAGGTTGACTTAATTTTGCATTTGTTGGGTTCTCCAGAGAAGGAAGAGGAGGGCCTTGGACAGGTGAAGATATGGGGATGCTGGCCATGTAACAGATCCCAAAACAACTGTTTCTAGGGTATCAAAAAGGAATTCTCTCCCCATCTCCCTGCTTATCCACTGCCATGCTTTTTTGCTTCTGATCACAGTTTCTCTTCTGTCTCAAGGATATGTGATGTGCCTTTAACACCTTGTCAGTACTTACTATTTCCGGAATAGGGCAGGAGTAAAATGACTGTCCCAACCAGCAACCTCCCCTGCTCTCCCACACTCCATACATATTCTGGCTGTGAGACTGCCCTGCATGCACAGGGCTGGCTTGGGAGTTATCTGCTAGACTTGGGCTGCTACTAGAGATCAGGAGGGCTTGAGCCCCTCAGTCCCAAGGCACAAAGCTGGTAGGGAGTGGACAGACGTATAGAGGTAGAACAAAGACCAGGCTCTATGGAATGCACACCTGGCATCAATAACAACAGAAAAGAATGAAGAAGCTGTGAGAGGCATCTTCCTTCCTTCATCCTTCTCTCCTCTTCCTTTACCAGCTCCATATCTACTACAGTAAGAAACAATGGAACTGAAGAAGTGACTCCGTTCCACCCATTTAACTTTAAACTGCACCCTATGGCCATTTCTCCTTCTATTGACCTAAGAGACGTTAAAAAATCATAATAATTTAGGAAGGGCTGATGCTCTAGGTGAGCGCACATGCACGTTGGATCTCCTCATCTGAACTTCAGATGCCTTCACCCTACTCCAGCCTCATTAAGGGTTCATAAATATTTTACATGTCATGCATATAATTATATAGGAGTGAATTCTGGGACAAGCATGTATGTTGAGAGCCCCTAAGATGACTCAGTATCCTGTCAATCATTCCTGTCAATCATACCTTGAGATTCAGGGGGAAGTACCTGGGCTGTGGTGCACAACCTTTAATTTCCGAAAATTTGATTTATCGGGGGCTGGCTGCTGCTGTGTGCTATGGTCTGTGTGCAGTGCTTTTACTTTCCTGTCACTCCAACACCATTCTTCTGTGTCATGCCTTTTGTCAGTGTGGACTTGCCCTGAGCACAACTTCCTGTGGTCTTCAATAAATGTAGCTTCTTTTCACTTGTCACGGGGTGTATGCTTTTCAATTCTTTGCTCATCATACACAAGAGTCTGGGTTATACATAGCCATCATAAAATAACATATCTGTCACCTCAGAGCCTGCTTGAGCCCCTTTATGGATCCCACACTGAGGATTAAATTAAGATAAGGAGGTTCCAAATAGCATTGGACTGAGAAAGGAGAGAGATGGACCAGAGATGAAAATATCTACACCTTCCATGAGCAAGATGGAGCTAAGAAGGCTTTCTACGGATTTAAGATAGCTTCACTGTGTTAGCTTTCTATCACTATAGCAAATACCTGAGATAATCAACATATAAAGACAAAAGGTTTCTTTGGGCTTAGTTTTGGAGTCCAGTCTATGACTGACTGACCTCATTGCTTTTGGGCCTTGTGGTGAGACAGCACATCATGGCAGAGTGTGTGGTGGAACAAAACTGCTCACCTCCTGGTCAGGATACAAAAAAGGGGGAAGGGAAAAGGACCTGGGGACCCACTATTCCCTTCTAGGGCACACCCCAAATGATTTGAAGAGCCAGGTCTACCTCAGCCCCACCTCAGAGGTTCTACCACTTCCCAACAGTGCCAAGCTTAGCCTTAGGCCCTAAACACATGGGCTTTGGGAGGAACATTCCAGATCTAACTATAACATCAATACAACATTCCTCAGTTGTTCCTAAATGTAAGGAAGGGATTCGAGTCAAAAAACCACTTATGATATCAATTGCATGATCTGAAAAAAACATAAGAATAATCTAAACCCAAAAAATGGTATTAAGGAGAGTGTTGATTTATTTTTTATAAATAAAAGATTTCAACTTTATATTTACAAGAAAATAACTATGCATTTCAACAAGTATGCCTTTCCTCATATCCAAGCATTCTTCCAAATATTCCTTTTCAAGTTGGGACTTATGAGACTAATCAATTGGCCATAATAATCCAACATGTCAAATCTTACTTCTAAACTATAGCTACTGAACTTTGCCTCCGTCTCAATTGCTATTGTATTCAACAGCACTCACCTCAAAACCCTGTTCACTTACCACCTGCCACCATGTTCCCCTCACTCCATTATTTTGTTACTTTATCTGTATAACCACAACTTACTCTCTACAGGCACCTTTGCTCCTGGCAGGGGTCACTTTAGTCATTGCACTGCATCCCCTACCTGTACCAGCCTTAAATGAGAGACCTCAGTAAATCACCCAGGGATTTGTACACACTAGGCATAGAGTAAGTGTCTCCTGAAGTATTCAGTCAAACCCTTAAAAAAGGTCCCTATAAAACTAGGGAAATTAAAAAAAATATTGAAGGCTACCTCCATAGTAGATGCTCAATAAATATGGATTGATAATTTTGAAATACTTCCATACCATTTCAGTGACTATAGCTAAAAAAGACTTTTTTTTTTTTTTGTACCAGGGATCAAACTCGGGACCTTGTGCTTGAGAGGCAGGCACCAGAACCACTGAGCTAAATCCCTGGCCCCTAAAAAAGACATTTTATCAGAGAATCACTAGAGCTTTCTTGAGATATTCCTGGAAGTCTGGGCATCCTCCATTATGCCTTAGAAGGGCTCTGCCTATGTTCCAGCCTCACTCCTAAGTTCCATGTTATACCTTTTTGATGAAAAACTTGATGGCTTTAAGAGGGATTGAAAACCACAATACTAAGTGTGTTCTTATCTTTTAACTGTGTTATCCAATCTTAAATATTCATGTTTTTACACATTTATGTATAATGCATTCTTAGTATTGCCAATTTCTTTCCCTTTGTACCTAATTTAAAGTACAAGATGAAGATGATGATTTTTGGAAAGAAATGAGCAGCACTGGGAGTTGTGTATTTTGTGTGGTCATAGGGCTCTGTGTGTGGCCCAGAGAGGGACAGGGTGCCACTGTGACAAGAGCCTAATAAGGAAGCTCTACTTACTAGCAATAGGGCTTGGTGACACTGCTGGTTGGTTTTGTCAGCTGACTTACTTGAATGTGGTTGTCAACAACTCCCCAAGCAAAGTCACAGGGAAATGTCCCTTCTAGGGGTTGGTTTTCAGGTAAAGGAGGGAAGCCATTGCTCTCTATCAGCTTTTGGTAGAACAAGGCTGAAGACTTTGGCAACAACTTCTTATCCTGGCTCAAAAAGTCGACATAGAAGAGTCCACGTCGGATGCTGTAGCCTCTGTGCCATTCGAAACCATCCATGAGGGACCATGCTGTGTACCCAATGACATCAACCCCATCCAGCCTGATGGCTGCAAAGAGAAGAGAGGACAAGAGTGGCATGAATTTTCACTGGACACTTGCCTCATGATTCAAGAACAGCTGAGGGAAATTATGCATAACTCTTCCTGTGTGATGCAGCCATTGATTTTTCTTATTGATAAAAGGCTTGCACCAAATCTCTACAAATAAATATCTTCACAAATAAACTTATTTCCAGGATTTTTTATTTGGATTTCTGAGATGGAATATATTTTTTCCCAGTGGAAAAGTGTCTTGTTCTACTTTTCATCTTAGGTACCTAGAATTGTGGCTGATGCAGAAAATGAATAAAGTATTTAAAGTATGAGCTATTATTTTCTCCAGATTATGTGGATATTCTTTTTTTTTAAAGTGCTTCATTTAGCCAAAGCAGTAAGAACTCAAAAACATGTACTGAGAGATAGATATCCTTATATTTCTATTACATTTAACATAATCTAAAAATCTGGATTAGTAACTCTGCCAGTCAAGTGATTTCAAACATTAATCCAGTTTCTCTTTATAAAGTGAGTTTTAATTAACTTAGGTGCCTCAAGCCCCAAATGAAAAAGAACTTACATAAGTACATTCATACTATTGCCAAAATAAATTTCTATATTCTGATTAAAAATGTAAGCTAACATAGTACATTGCAGATAATCTTAAAGATTGCTTTTCCAATGGATTTTATTAAGGAACAAGAATTTTACTCAAAATCTTACCTTTTAAGCTTTCCATTACGAACTTTTTTAGGTAATACATATATTTGGCATCATCTCTCTTGGTGGTCCCTGAGACAAACCAGCCACTTTCCACAATAAATATTTCAGGATGATTATATTCAAGGTCAATCCAGGAGAGGAGTTGCCTCAGGCTGGGA